ATATATTTATTTAATATATAAACATAACATATTTTTCTTAAATGTATACATGCATGTGTTTGTATTTATATATACATAATAAATATACACAGTACACACATATATATATATTATGTAAACAAAAACTTTTATTTTGGATGTGATTAATCATTTGACAGCACTACTAAAAACAAAACAGTCAATGTTACTGGTCAACTTTCCATCTGTTATTATCAATATACCCTAGTTATGAACACATACATATTTAATATTATTAAATTAAATCGATCAGCCAGGTGCAGTTGGAGAGTTGTTCCCCTACTATGATCCCAAAGCGGACGGAACTGACATTTTAGGCACTATAGCACCATATTTGGAAAGAGACGAGCTGAACCTCCTCCCAGATTTCTCTCTCACGCCATTGGACCGGCCCAAACAGGACACATACGGGACTGACCCACCGCTGCTCATACAGGATGATTTTACACCAGGTAAATGCTGCTCGAAAGTGGTACGATACAAATAATACCTGCAATTCTGACTTCCTGTAAATAACATTTTCTCTCTCTCGTGTCAGACGAGGGATGCCTTCAGCCTCTGGATCCCGGTCCGTGTCGAGAGTATGTTGTTAAATGGTATTTTGATCCAAAAGCCAATTCATGTGCTCAGTTCTGGTTTGGAGGTTGCCAAGGCAACAAAAACCAGTTTGACACTCAACAGGCCTGCAGAAAATCCTGTGTGAAAATGTAAGTCTTATCATTAGAGCACTGAACCGAATACTAAAAGAGGCATAAAGCTAAAAGGGCTCTTTATTATTGAAATATACATACGCTTTTAATATTCAACATTTAAAATAATAAACATTTTTACTGTGAACATTTTAAAAAACTAAACTTGAACAATCTACAAATGCATTATTTGCATATATAGTGGCCACAAGAAGTATTTACACAAGGTTAAGTAAAAAAAAATTCATTGCTTTATATAGAAAATATCAAGTGTTTTTATTTGAAAGAAATGTATGAATAATTCTTGATAAGAAAGAGAAAATGCACTGATATTCAGACATTATTTTGAGCAAAAATACTATTTCTTGATGTGGGAAATGAACAATATTCCAACAGATAAACAGTCTGTAATCTTTTACCATCAAATGTTCTCATATAAACTAGTTTTTGGTCCCATTAAACATCTTTGTAGGTTTTTTTTAAATATTTGTGACCCTGGAGCACAAAAGCAGTCTTAAGTCGCTGGGGTATATTTGTAGCAATAGCCAAACAGACTAAATCTGCACAGCAGTCAGGACCCTGGAGAAAGAGAAACTGTAAAATGTAGTTCTGACTAACTGAAATTATAGTTAAAATAATCAAATATATAATTTACATTTAAAAATCAGTCATTTTAATGTAAGTGTTGTATCAAAAAACCAAAAGGACTTTTATGTTAAACACTTAAATTTCAACATGAAACAATGTATGCATTCTGTAAAATTATGCATTTCTGAGTGAAACAGAATATTCAACAAGAATAAAATGTAGGGTGGGATTTTATCAAACTGGATAAAACAGTTTTCTGATGTAAGTATCTGTATGTTTGGGTAGATTGAAACAGAATTTTACATTAAATATTCAACATATTGGTAAAACATATCGGACTTGATTCTGATCAGTGTTATTTCAATATCAATAAGATATGTTAATATTTTGAATTCGTTTTTATTTGTGCATTTTCTGTTTTCGTTTTCTGTAATTTTTAGTATTTATATATATATATATATATATATATATATATATATATATATATATATATATTCAGA